CAAAAGAATAGTATAATTCGGTTTTAAAAAACTTTTCTAATTCCAGAATAATTTTGAACCCGACCTGCTGTTGCACTTGCATTCAGGGTTTCAAAACTACAAGCTGTACATTTTCCGTGTACGGAAAATCATGCATTTCTCTACTGTGTTAAGAGGAGACCATATGAGGTTCATAAAATTAAGCAGTAGATTTGAGCAATATTGTTAACTTTACAAGCCACATTCGTAAGTGCAGATACATGACGTTTCATGAACGGCCATTTAACGGTATTGAAAAATCTCACAATTAAAAACTTTTTAAAGCGAACACGGTGAGGGCATGGTACGCAACTGCAGTCGGTGGTTGTTCAAAAACTTGCCTTCTTATTTTATTTAGATATCTGCGGTTCTTCACGGTTTGCCTGGCGATAGGTCGCTGCCAGTTAAAACAACCAATAGGGTAAGAGTAAAACAACCAATAGGGTACAAGCAAACGGGAGTAGATCGTCAAATGTGAAGCAGCCTGGTACCTCCCCACAAGGGTTTTAGGGCCATGGGCTTAGGGTTGAGGTTTTAGGGTTAGAGTTAGAAGTTAGGGTTTCAAGGCTTCCGTTTTGGTTATGGTTGCGTTTGAGTTTGCCGTAAAGGCTTACGGGATAAAGGCCGGGGGTACACAGCTTCTGTTTAGGACACCACTTTTTGTCCATTCCTGCGCGAGAAGGTAAGCAGTGTTGTCTCTAATTACAGTGCGTGACTGATCTCATGAAATGTTGGCCAAAATTCTGGAATGCGTTTCCTATTAGGAAGGATTACTTAAGTGGAGTTGTTATACTGATTAACATGCAGCATAACCCTATAACACTTCAGACTCGCCAGAATGTCGGCTTTTGAATGCACTTATTTTCGGCCTCCTGCAGAAACTACACTCGGTAAAAATGACTACGTAGGTAGCATGCACTTATTCTATTGATTTTCGATGGTCTTGTAAATTAAAATATATTTTAAAGAAAACATGCCCAAAAGATGCTTTTTTGCTCACTAGGAAGGAAATCACATTGTCTTCATATTTTCTGCCCGAAGAAAGTGTGTATTTAGGTTCTTAAAAAGTTTCCCAATTCCCGAATAATTTTCAGCCTGATCTGCCATTGCATCAGCGTCTAGCAATTTCAGTCTACAAACTGCATGCTTTTCGCGTAAGGAAAATAATATATTCCTCTATGCCTTTAAGAAGATGCTACATAGAGTTCACGAAATTTTGCAATGGATCCGGATTGTGTTGTACATTTCATGAGGAGCAGTAGTAAACGAACATGCGCGGTCTTGCATGCATGGACATCGCACAGTCTTAAAATTTCATAATTAGAAACTTTTTCAAAACCTAAACGTACACTTTCTTTGGGCATAAAACATAAAGACAATGCGATTTCCTACAAGATGAGCCAAAGAACGCATATTTTCTGCATGTTTTCTACAAAATATAGTTGAATTTACAAGACCATCGAAAATCAATAGAAAAAATGCATGCTACTTAAGTAGTCCTTTTTTACCGAGTATAGTTCTGCTAAGACGTCCCAGTCGTCTGCCGAACTCTACTGTGGGCCGCGACTTGGTTTAGTGGGAGGTCGTTCCGAATTTCCCTGTGCTGCCTACAGGATTGCATTTTGCCCTCTCCGTATAACTTTGAAAGTTTTGGACGGAGTTGGATAAGGGAGCATAATTTCCGGGTATCGCACACTTTTATCTGAGTCGGTCCAACGGTTGATGCGTTTATCGGGGTGTGGTCTATAGGTAGAGCCTAACTTCGGATAACTACAGATGAGAGTTGGGTGTCAGTTAGGGGCCGTTAAGTGTAGTCACCTATTGCGTGATGATACTTACTGAAAATACACGAGGAACTCTAACTAGACGCCCCTACATCCCACAGGGCAACTAATGTGTACAGGACTCGTGAAGAGGCCTGTTCGGACTACACGACGTACCCTTAAGTAGGCATCCCATATGTCCCATGCACGCACAAATCTGTCCTTAGTGTTCCCTTCTTTGCGCCACGGCTTGTTTATGTGGTCCTGGCCATATAATGGTTACCAGAGTCTCAATAAACTGAAACCTAAAATGCAATTGCTACTTAATTGATTTAAGGACTATAATAAGATCAATGTTTTATTGATTGGACTAGAGAACAAAGTCAGCATGCCTTCACGGCCAATACTGCTGATTCCTTTAATGCTGTTTTCACCTTCAACCGACTAGGCGTCCCCCGGTAGAACCTCAACCAGAAATGGACGTTCTTGAGGGCAGAGCGTATTTTGCGAACGGAAGTAGGATCTGCCTTTAGCCCTAAGTGCGCGTAAGGGGAATTTCTGACCGACAGAGCGGATCGTCTCACACACATAGGATTAATACTACTCGACTGCCCTGGGTGCATCAGCTAGGCCATTTGATTGGTGGAGAACCCGACTGGAATTATTGTCTGACACGGGGAGGGAATCTATACTAAAGCAGCGAGGCAGCTTCGTGATTCTTTTTTCTATACACTAGTAGGTCGGTTGTCCATGAACTGGATCATGACACTTCTGTCGCTCAGTTATTAATAACTGGCTGATTAATTGCTTTAATTTACTCGTCATACTCACAGCACTGGTAGAAGTCCAGACACGTGATTTGTCGGTTTTTGTCTTTTAGTGAGTATCCGTGTAGAGAGTATTTTAAAGCAGTCTGTATTTGCCAATCGTTGGCCGCCTGTTTGCAGAATGTAAATATTATGGGTTTAAATCACGGAACCTAACGGATGCCAATAAGAATAGTCTTATCAACCTTTGGATCTAGCCAGAGCACGTTTATGTCCAAGGATTTACTCCAAACATGCACATTTACTTCCGAGGAAGCAAAAAAGCCGAACGTTCCATTCCTTTTCCGGCTGAGAATATGTAGTTCTCTTCGAACCAAAGAGAGTAATGGACTTACACGGATAGGGTCTAAAACTCGCGATCACGAAAAAAGGGATCTTTGATCATGGAGTATTTAAACAAGTGTTCCACCATACAGTCACGGACTTTCTCCCGTCGGTTGCAGTCGCAAACGTTCATAGTCCCGTGACGATGGCTCTCATCGATCTATCCTGATCGCAGGATGGGGATCCGATTTAAAGAGCACGTAGGTGGTGCCACAGATGGTGACCGCTACGACCATTCCAGTTACCCTATTCTGTGTCGAATGTAACTCCTGTTCATTCATGACTAGTCGCGTTGTGACTGCAGTAGGTAAGGCAAAGCGCTCTATCCCCTCTCCCAATGAGGTCACTTTCATGAAACTTTCAATATTTCAATTCTCAATCGATAGGACGTGGTACGTGGCCCAATTGACGGAACATCTGACTTGAGACTGTTGGCTGGCCAACAACTAATCCTGGCTGAAACTTCCGATGCCGATCGGGTCATGGCTGGGTGATGACGATAAGCAGGCCGGAAACGGACTTTCCGATCTGTCTCGGCGTCGATTATGAATTACTAATTTCACATGGCCACATTAATTGGCTGTAAACTCGATGGAAACCGAAACGGTTCTACTCCATCGTACCGTAGCGGCTGAAGTATTGGGCGTACTACTTGAAGCGCTACAAAAATCAGACCACGGCTCAGTCAGCAGGCTGAGAGACGAAAACCACGAGAATAGGGACAGGGGGGTATTGTGTGCCGACGGCTATGACCGTCTGAAAGGTCAGAGCGTGTGCTGACGTGAAGACATGTCGATCCTCGGGTGTTCCACACCTCGGGGTTGGGTATGACTGGCTGACGACGGCTGATAAGCCAGAAATGGCCATTCCAGTCTCCCTTGTCTTTGTCGGTAATATCATTCTGCCTATATATCATGCGCCGCTGTGCGGCTGTTGGTTGTACTCGAAGAGAGCCCGTAAGGCACAACGGAACGAGTGAATTCCGTAAGAACGATCCGCGAACGTTCCCTCTACCATTGTATATTCCCGATCGAAACCAACAGGGCAACAGGCTCGTGGCTCATTTGTTAGAGGCATGGACTTCTAACTAAAAGGTCGCGAGTTCGGGCCTCGGGTGTTCCACACTTTGGGGTTGGGTATGACTAGCTGACGACGGCTAGTAGGCCAGAAATGAGCACTCAATTCTCCCTTGCCTTTGCCTTTGACGAAAACCACGAGAATAGGGCGGGCGACAGGGGGGGGGGATATTGTGTGCCGACGGCAGGGACCGTTGGAAAGGTCAGAGCTGACATGAGGACCTGTGGTGTCAGCCAACTTCCTAGGTTTGTGGAACCAAGTACAAGTGTCTTGGTGTTGGAGTGGCAGGTGTTGAATTAGCCAAAAAATAGTCCGTTCAAGTTGGAAATGGACGGCTCTGACTGTCTAGACGACCATCTGTCCGAGCTGAAGTCGGCTGAAAGACAGTGGACCGACGCCTGGGCAGTTTCATCTGTAGCAGGAGTCTTTTTGATGAGCCTCGAACCAAATAAGCTGACCGGGGCAGTGATGTCGGTAGCTTCAAGGAAGTAGGGTGGGTCTCTGCCACCAACATATGGGCCTGTAAGGTACCAAACGCATGTCTGTCTCTCCCCCCCCCCCTTGGCCATCTCACCAGTCCAAAAGCGTTGAAGACTTCCTTCTGTGTGGGGTGGGAGGGTAGGAGTATTCACGCACCCGAAGGGGAATTTTCTTTTCATAAGTCTTAAGGATCCACAATGGGCTGCACTGCGAATTCGGTAGACGAAAGGAGGGACTGTGGCGACTCACGGCTTGGTATGCCGATGTCGCGATGAATTTCGATGCTGTGGACGAGCATGTGATCGACTAATTCCATGGGATGGCTGACTGTAAATGGACAGTGTACTTTGATGCTCCACAACAACAACAACTAGTACTACTACTACTGCTGCTGCTGCTGCTGCTACCACCACCACCACCGCTACTACTACTACTACTACTACTGAAAATACTACTGATACTACTATTACTACTACTACTACTACTACTACTACTTCTACTATTACTACTAATGACTACTACTAAAGCACCTTTCCTGTTTGACCCCCTGAAGGTTCACACGGCTGTAACCGGCTGGCAGCTCCGGCTAGAGAGTGAGGGCACACTTCTGCTGCCGCAGCCTGCGCCTACAGGGCTGGATCTGGAGGATTTGTCGGTTCTCTTCCTCCGCCTGAATCAACAGTTGCCCGGCGACGTGGGCCGCTTCAGCATTTTCTTCTTCAACTATGTAAAATTGCGGCCCGGTGAGGCCATCTTCCTTCGAGTCAGCTCCTGCGCTTTACACGGTCTTCTATCTTCGCTAGAGCTATCAGCCCACCTCTCTCAGCAGTCCGCATGTTTGTCTGACTGCATCCGCTCAGCGAATGGCTGACAATCGGGGGTTAAATTGACACCCCACTTGCTTGATGTGAGCTGGTTGGCGACCCATGATTTTTAGACGTCGGTAAATTTGCCGTGATCTTCTCTGAGCAGACCCCAGAGCTGGCTGTGCTTTAGGTGTATTGTACCAACACGGGGGTCTGACTGGCTCACGGTACGCGCTTATCGGGCTGTGCAGAGTCCGCGCAAGCCCATAACTACTGCCGTGAACGCGTGTGCTAACATGCTTTGGACGTATCCCCTCACACATCATCAGTCACATCTCACTCCCTGTTGGCTGAAGGCACGAACAGTGGACTGATGCGGGGTGCGGCACACCACTGCAACAAGTTGACGGTCAGAAGGACTTGAGTGTGTAGATTGCATCTTCACTCAAACCAACACTGAACTGCGCGAGGGCGCTAAGTCGACCATGGCAACATGGCAACCCATCAGGCGAGCCTTTATGGGATTTGACACTGATTGCTTTTCCAAAATATTTGGCACCTACGTGCGAACTCATCTAGAATACGCCATACAGGCGTGGAGACCTTGGACTGCCAAGGACTATACCGTTTTGGAGATGATTCAGAGACGGGCGACCAAAAGGACAAAGGGTTTGGGAGCACTGCCCTATGAAACCAGACTGCCTACTCTTAACCTGCTTCCTCTTTCCCACAGGCAACTACGTGGTGACCTTATACTAACATTTCGCATTTCCAACGGCCTAGACTGTTGTTTAGGTCCTACTGATTACTTCACTCCAGCTAACACGTCCACTCTGTGCGGTCATCCCCAAAAACTACGCGCAGGGAAAGCAAGGCTCGATGGACGAAAGTTCTTTTTCAGTAACAGAGTGGCTGCAGCGTGGAATGTCCTACCGACTGGTGCTGTACTCTCCTCCTGTGTGAATTTCTTTCAGTGTAGACTTGACGCGTATCAAGCTTCCCAACCACCGGCCTCACATCCACTCACATAATCGGCACCAGAATACATACTTTTATACTACTCGCGATTAGTGAGCAACCGTTAGTGATTATTCTTTTTCGACTATCTGGCAGCTATCTGCAATTATGTACAAAATCTCCTTTTTCAACTTTCCACTTATCAGTGTTTTTCTCCAACGACCTGTAACTAATAGGGAGTTCAAAGTCGCTCGCCTATATGCCCCTTAATAAAACTGAACTGAGCATGTTGTGGGGATCAGATCGTGTGTGGTACGTGCAGACGAGTTGCCTAATTTTGCCGGCAACTACGCCCCAACTTACCTTGGGTGGTCTTGAAAGTGGCCAGCCCTCGGCCGGAGGTGAGTGAGTGTGGTAGATGCTGCGCAAGTTAGCCTCTCTATAAACTGATTCGCGTGTAAGTCTCCCTCCATTGGACACGCGGTAGAAGTCGTCGCTGACAACGGTCGAACTGTCAAGTGAGATCTTCGATCCAAGCAGTTTGTATGCTAATAAGTAGTCTAAATATAACACTCTGTTCCCAGTCAGGGCATGCCGAGCTCTCGTCTAGCGTAATTTGCCGTCGGAAGAAGCAAAAGAGGCAAGCTGTACTAAGGGTATCGAAGAGCGCTTGGTCGGAAAATTGGGAGCATATACTAAAACATGACATTATGCATTAAACAAAGGTCAAAGCTCAAGTCAGAGCATTTTTTACATCTTAGTGTGTCCCAAAGCACCTTTTTGCCTCCCAAGAAGCCACAGGACGCCAGTACGGACTCTAGGTGGTGTGAGTAGTTATAAACATTTCCCGATTGCTATCCTCCTTCCCTATTGATGAGTCATTCAGCAACACCCGTCGTATTGGGCTGTTTGACTGCCTGAACTGTTTTCCCACGTGGTCCTGTTCCTACAACTGAAGGCTGATTGGAGCAGGACGCTTGAAGGTCACGCGGGGGGAAAATCGATACTGAAGGAAGCACGTGAGTTCTACTTGAACGGGGAACGAACTGGATCCACCTGCCCCGCATGGCAGGCCTTGACCACTTCGCAAGTAAGGATGAGTGAGAAGGATCAGCTGCCGGTCGAAGAGAACGATCAGCATAGCCTCCATGAAGCTACTGCGGCAACTACACAAACCTTTCTTCAAACTCCACCCGAGCAACTCTTCTTCAACAGCTCGGCTCTCGCCTGCTCAGTACCGAGGCGTCGATCTGGTCTGGAGAATGCCGCCTTCTGTCCACTCACTACTAGTCCAACTTCCGCGGAAGCTGGACAACATGTCGTGCATTCCGTGGGGTCCAGTCTTTTGGAAAAGTCTACCAGGAAGGCGATTGCCAAAATAAGCAAAACCCACTACTACTCAATGGTACATCAAAAAGTCGGGGAATTACTGAAGAATACATCACCGACCGAGGACCACACAACTGACCCCCGATTAAATCCCCCAGATGAATCGGTAGCCAAGGGACTTTTATCTTGCCGTGAAAAAGAAGAAGACAACTGCATGCCCAGACAGTCTACGTCCTGCGCAGGCGAGGTCGAAACCTCTACCCGAAGTTTGGAAGTTACTGGAGAAGGGATCACTGCAGCGGATGTGGAGAGCGGGGAGCAACAGGAAGGCAGAGGATTGGCTGAGACGTATGAACAGCTTCCGAGCGTCTCTGGCAGTGAGCCGACTATGTCTCGTTATGATCACTTGATAACAGAGAGGGAAAGAAGCTTGCCAAGACAGGCTACCGTGTCCTTGGACGAAGAGCAATATGGCACGCAGTCCCCAGATGTCTCTGAATATCACCTAAAGTCTGGGATTGGAGACTGGGATCAGCAATTCCAGCACGAACACGTCCAAAAGGACAAGGAAGCGCAGTTGCCAACGTCTGATCCAACACCCCTTGAACAGGAGCCGACAGACTGCCAATGTATCGATGCCACCTCAGTAGGTGTTGAAATATTGAGTGCACAGAGCTCGGACACGCCGTCAGAGCCTTCGTCCAAAGACTGTCCCTCCGGGCATCAGCCCACAGTGCCGGTAATTCTCCTTCCTAGCGTTAATCTGAGTGTGGTGCAGGATTCCGACCTGGACCCAACCATTGCTCCTTCTTCCGCCTTCCATGATGTTACGCATCTGAAGGTGCCAGACGCCAGTCACCCGAGAGGGAGGCGGGGTGTAAATAACGTGCCGACAGAGGCCCGAGACAGGTTTTTCTTTCCAATTGAAGGATTGTTCAGCGCCGAAGAAGGGGACATGGACTCAGTGGCCCTCTTGGACGAGTTTAGTGTTACGGCTGCCGTTCCGGGAACCAGCCTAGAAAGCCATTTAGGTGAAAGCGAGAGAAGTGATGAACACAGAGTTGAAGTTACGCATTCGCCCCTCGGAAGCAACGAGGACACGACGGAGATTCTGGCAGCCTGCTGTTCTCACAAGGAGAAACAGCTGGTAGCGAGCTATGACTCCACGTCAACCTATCGCCTTCCGACTACAACTCTGCAAACCTCCCATCAGAGTTTGCAGCACCGTCCCCAGGTAAACGATCGGCATTCTGACGTCACACCTGATTTGGAGACAGAGAAAGAGGAGGATGAGCAGACTTTAAGGAGTCTTTACTTGATCGTGCCTCAGATGGCACCGGGAGAATTGGAGTCGGTGTCCTTTTTCCCACTGTCCGATCGGGCCGGCGACTCGGCTGGTAGCCGAGCCGTCGTCCGTGTTGCGCCTGAACCCTCTAACGTATGCGTTTGTCCGCAGCCATGTCTTCAGTGGCCTCAAAAGGTCCGCTTGGAGTCCGTGGAGAGCGTAGGATTAACGGATCCTCTCTTCAGTAACGCGCAGGGCCCTTGGAACCTTCGATTGGTAACGCTGCATCGGCTGCGGACGTTGTGCTTTTCAAGCCTCTTGTGGATTTCGGGACATCTCATGCAGACATCACGTGGCATCTTCGCTAGTTGGATGGTCCGGCTATTTCCGAGTCTGTCTCAAAACGCTGTTGGATACGAAAATCCAGTCGATCGGAACAGTTCCAACGCCACAACCATAGGGGACGGTATGCTGCCATCAATGCGGCTCCTGGTGACATTTCCGCGGCTTCGATGGGGATTACAACCATCTCCGATCTGTGCTATGGCCGGGTGGACTGGTGGTTATTGGTTCAGGCTGGAACGGGCGGCCGGATCTAGGCCCCAACAACGACGTAAAGACATCAGGAGGAGGTGTGTGCGTTTTGTAGACTTCCGAGACCATCGAATACGCCGGTGGAGGCATATGCGTAGGAAATGTGATCCTTTCTATAAGCCGTTTACTCTCGCCTGACAAAATTCCAAGTCTCCAGCGGTTTCTTGAAAAACAGATGTCAGCTTTTCAAGCACTTAATGCACCAAGGATGGCCAGTAGGGAAGAGTTGAGTTTCATTTGTAACAAAAAGGCCTCTTTCTGCAAAACTGTCGTCTGGGGAGAGGCAGTAACAACTACCCCTGCACCAACTGCGAGTGCATATATAGGGGTGCGATGCACACACAGGGGGGTGTGCAGGCGCAGAGAAGTCGAATAAACAACGCTTTTTGAGTTTTTTTCAAGTTATTATTGGAGGGTCTTGCAGTAAAGCGTGCAGATGTTCAGAGTTGAGAAAGAGCATCGGAGATGTAAGGAGAAGGAACTATTTTTGTGAGCAAGGAGGTCCCAATTACGGTTGGATGTCATTGCATAGTCTCTCAGGTCGGAGTTGTAGTTAGCGACGAACTTACTCCCCACCCCACTGAGCCATACCTCGTCTCGGTATCCTTTCGTGCTGTAAAGACTCAGGAAATCCAGGGTCTGACCTCACCGAGCGAGTAGTGGTCTTCCATTTTGATATCTAACGAAGTCCGCTGGTTTTATTCAAGTGTTTTTGAAACGCAACCATCGGCGAATTTGTAAGATCCCACGTTCTCGAAGACATTGGGGTTCTATGCCTCCCGAAAATTACTTAAAGAAGTAGGGGAGAAAATCGTCTAGTGGGGTTGTTTTACGAAAGAAAAGTAACGCTTCTCTTTCGATATCGAGTAAGCTGCAAATTCAAGTTCAGAAAAAGAAAATGTGACCGCTGCAACAAAAAGTTTATTAATCTGACGTTTCAGATTCTCACTAAGACCCATCATCAGATACAGCTTCAGATAAGGAACTCGCCTGGTTGCTTCTATCGGCAAATTCAAGATCATACGAAATGGTTCCAACAAACAACACTGTACTCGGTCCAAGCAAATAAAACGCCTAATTTCCCGAAAGCCCATAGAAAATGCTGCAATAAGTAAATGCACGCAGCATAGTTCCTCTGATATTAAAAGCACAGGACGTTCTTGTTGTGAGACCAGAGTTTCTTGGGGTCGAAGAATTAACTTGGACAAAAAATACTACCCGCAAAGATTGAGTGGTATCGGTAAGATATTAGAAGCGTGGCATAAATTCTCCCAAGGCCTTTTTAAAATGCGAATCTAGACGAAAGGAATCCTTGTTACATTTCGGCGCTTGGAGAGAATAACTATCGTGAATGATTTTGGGCACACTTAAGCCAGGATATCTTGACAGTTCGACCATCGATTTCGATGATGTCCACCATGTGCCCCACAGCTACAGCAGCGGTGGGAACAGAGACGGTGACTTGCGCAGAGCTTTATAGTGCCGGTAGACTTGCGCTGCATCTACCACACTCTCTCCTCCTCCCCCGCCTGGGCCCGGTGTCAAGACAGAGTCAAGAAGACCGGAGACGAGGGAGGCCGCAGGTGGATGGCTCGGACGGATCCTCACCTTGGCGTTTCACCACACTCCCTGGTCCACACAACGAATAACCAGGATTTTCACCAACACAACCGAGATTGGAGGCTGGCATGACCGAAGCCGCACCTAGGCGTGCCGCCAACGCCTGGCTCGGATCCCACACTGTGGTGGGAATGCCATAAAGGCCACATTAAAAAGGAGCCATTGCAGCCTGACTCTCAGACCCCCACCAGTCGAGGAGGAGGTCCAAGTTATCCCTTCAGTTGACAAACTTCCAAGCCACGGCTTTTAGCGCACCGTGATAGCTTCAAGCGCGTCTGATTGTTTATAGTATGGAGAAAATCCGCTGAGTCGTCGACCTCACCCTCCCTTCCCATTCCCACACCGCAGCCGCTGTCCGAGCCGGTCAGCAGACTGGAGTGGGAAATGGGCGCGGTGGCTGGCATGATCGACTGACCATGACTGCGCGCGCCACGAGCACGACCTGGCCCCCCATACACACACAAACACCAGGATTTCACACAACGGGGGTTGAACGGCGTGTCTCTCACTTGCGTGAGAGTGCTGTGGAAGGTGTTGTTTCAGCCCGTCCCCAGCCCACCAGTCCGCCACTCCACACAACACACAACGCGACGAACTGCGTGAACCGAGAACCGGCGTCAATCAGCAACCTTCCTATCCACGACGCTTGACGTGTCGGGATAGTCTCAGACTCAAGTCACCCGTGCAGCCGAAGCCGCATGGGGACCGAGTCGAGATGCACACTTCCCACTTGCGTGGGAGATGGCAGTTGGGTGCTTGCGGTGTGTGAGTGCTGATGTGTGGTGGTGATGGTGATGGTGGTGGTGGAGGCAGGGAGGGAGGGTGTTGTGGTGTGGTGTAGCCGGCGGTTGTCTACCGCAGGTCGTCGTGGATGCGCATGTGGCCGAGTAGGCCCATGCGATGCGTGAAAGTGTGAGGGTAGTGTGGGCAGTTGAGGTGAGTTTGGTGGATATGGGTTGGTGCTCCAGGCACTGGTTCGCCAGCCTCTGTGCGATGGATTCGCAAATGACTGACTAGGCCGATATGTGAGGTGAAGGTGCGGTCGCAGTGAGGGCAGGTGTAGTCCTGGTCCTCACCCCTGGAGTCGGAGGTTGGAGGGATGGTGTCTGTTGTTGTGCCATGGATGTGTGTGATGGTGGTGTGAGTGACGGCCACCAGAGCGGCTGGGGTTGGTGCAGTGGGACAGGAGGAGGAAGAGGCGGGGGGAGAGGAGGAGGAGGAGGAGGGGGAGGAAGAAGAGGAGGAGGAGGAGGATGGAAGTGGTTCAGAAGAATTGTCAGAGTTAGTTGGCGGCGGAGAGGACGAGGAAGAGGCGGGTGGAGGGACGGCTGATGGTGTGGTCCGAGAGGTACAGTTGATCCGAAGATGTCCAACAAGTCCGATGCGAGCCCGGAATGTCCGTTGACACCGAGGACGCGTTGGAAGCGGTTGTGCGTCGGCGTTGCGGACTGGGCGTGGCTGTGATTTGCGTGCGTCGCGTTTCACTTTGGCAGCGGCGATTCGGTTGGCCTCATAGATCTCAGCGCCTGTCTTCACTTTCCTCCTCCAGGTCGGTCGGTCGAGGGCGAGCTCTTCCCGGTTGGTCGGGCTAATTTGCAGATGCTTCAGGGAGGACTTCAGAGTATCCTCGTATCGACGAATTTGGCCTCCTTGACGACGAGAACCCGTGGCGACGTCTCCGTAGAAGAGTCGTTTTGGTAGTCGCTCGTCGTTCATACGCACCTCTTGGCCGCTCCAACGCTGTTGCATTTGTCTCAGCATGGTGCAGATGCTGAGGATTCCCGTCCGTTCCAGCGCATCAGTGTCGGGGATTCGATTCTGCCAGTTCAGACTCAGGATGCGACGGAGACAGCTGAGGTGAAAGTGGTTCAGTCGACGTGCCTGCTTTGTGTATACTGTCCAAGTCTCCGCTCCGTACAGCAGCGTCGGCAGGATGACGGCCTTGTACATGTTCAGCTTCGTGCTCAGTTGGAGACTGTGGCAATTCCAAACTGTGCTTTGGAGGCGTCCGAAGGCTTGACTGGCTTTCGAGATCCTGCGAGCGACTTCGTCATCGATTTTGGCGTTAAGGGAGAGGGTGCTGCCCAGATACGGGAAGTTTTCCACCACTTGAAGTTGGGTCCCATTCACGCTGATTTGCGGCGGCGCGTCGGGGGCTGTGGCTGAGTTGGGTGGCGGTTGATGCATGACCACTGTCTTCTGCGTGTTGATAACCAGACCGAAGTTCTCGCAGGCGGCAGAGAAGAGGTCCATGCTGCGTTGCATCTCCTCTTCCGAGGTGGTGTTCAGGGCGCAGTCGTCGGCGAAGAGAAGTTCGTGAACGATGGTTGTGGATACGCGCGATTGGAATTGCATCCGCCGTTGATTCAGCAGGTGACCGTCCTTCCTGTAGGCGATGCGGATCCCGGGGCGTTCATCACGGTAGGCGTCCATCAGCATGGCAGAAAACATAAGACTGAAGAGGGTAGGCGCCAGCACGCATCCCTGCTTCACTCTGTTGGTCACTGTGAATGCCTCCGAGACCGCTCCGTTGTCCGTGACTCGCGCCATCATAGCGTCGTGCAGCTGACGCACCATCTGAGTGAATCGCTCAGGACATCCGAATTTCTGCATGATCTTCCACAGTCCTTTACGATTCACCGTGTCGAAGGCTTTCGTCATGTCCACGAAGGGGGAGTACAGGTGGGTCCGCATCTCCTGACACTTCTCCTGAAGTTGGCGGGCGGCGAAGATCATATCCGTGGTCCCACGATGACGACGGAAGCCGCATTGGCTTTCCGGCAGAAGGGCCTGTTTCAGATGATTATTCAGACGATTGAGGAGGATGCGAACGAAGATCTTCCCGGCGATTTTGAGTAGGGATATGCCGCGATGATTGTCGCAGACTTGGCGGTTTCCTTTTCGCTTATAGAGATGCACGATGGTTGCGTCTTTGAAATCTTGCGGGACTTCACCTTAACGCCACATCTCCTGGAAGAGCGCAGTCAGGTGATCCATTAGCTGGGGACCTCCATGCTTGTAGACCTCAGCAGGGATTGTGTCCTATCCGGGTACTTTCCCGCTGGAGAGCTGCTGCAAGGCCCTGATGGTTTCCTGGAGAGATGGCGGGAGGTCGAGGTCCACGTTGGTCTCCACTTGCGGCCCACGGGCGATGGCGACGTCGGAGATGGCGGAGGGGCGGTTGAGGACGCCTCGGAAATGCTCGGCCCATCTCTGTAGAATTTGTGTCATCTCGGTCAGGAGAGTGTTACCGTCGGCGCTGAGGAGAGGAGCAGTGCCCTTCGTCGGCGGACCGTAGCCGGCTTTGATCGCGGAGAATAAGTTCTTCCACTCGTTGCGGTCCGCGTAGCCTTGGATCTCCTCATCTTTGCGAGCAGTCCAGGCGCCCTGCATCTCGCGCAGTCGTTGCTGAAGCTGGCGGCGACTGCGGTAGAAGGCAGCTTTGCTGTCCTCTGTGGGGTGATCTTCGTCTGCTTTGTGTAGGCGGTTCTTCTCTGCAAGCAGATTTCTGATGGCGGCGTCGTTGTCGTCGAACCAGTTCTGGTGTTGGCGGGGAGCGCGACCGAGGACGGTGAGCGCCGTCGACTGGACCGTGTCTCGCAGTTGACACCAGCGGTTCTCCACGGAGGGGTTCTCGGCAGAGGCAGCGTCGTCGACTGCTGCGATAGGGAGGTCGTCTAGCCGTTGAGCTAGCTCATTGCTGAAACGAAGATGGTGAGCGGGCAAAGACAACAAGGCAACATTCAGCTTACCTGGGGGTCGCTTACCTTGGGGTCTCCTGCGAGGCTGTAGCGAATACGCATCTTCGAGATGACGAGGCGATGGTCGGTCCACCCGTCAGCACCCGCGATCGCCTTCGTCACCAGCACGTCCCGCTGATCTCGCCTCCGGACGAGGACATAGTCCAGCAGGTGCCACTGACGCGACCGAGGATGCCTCCAGGTGGCCTTCTCTCGCTCCGGCAGACAGAAGAAGATGTTCTGCGCAGGTGCGAAGGAGCAGCAGGCCATTGTCGTTTGAGTCGCGGAGACCATGGGGACCCAGCACACCTCTCCAGGCAGCATGGTCTGTGCCTACGCGGGCGTCGAAGTCACCAAGGACAATCAACTTGTCCGCGTTCGACACAGTCGCCAGGAGGGCGTGTAGGTCCTCATAGAATTTGTCTCTTGCGGCGTCGGGGCTGGTCATCGGCGGAGCGTATGCGCTGATAATGGTGGCGAATTTGCCCCCTCCCCCGGAGAGGCAGGCGGAGGCTCATCAAACGACCGTTGATGCCCTGCGGCAAACAGGGCAGTCGTCCCACGATGTCGTTTCGAATGGCGAAGGCGACACCCGCGTCTCGTTGCTCTGCTCTGGGCCACCCACTCCAGAAGAAGGTGTAGCCGGCACCCACCTCCTCCAGTTGGCCTTGGTCGGAGAATCGGGTCTCGCTGAGTGCGGCGATGTCCACCTTGTAGCGCGCCAGTTCTCGTGCCATTAGCGCCGTCCTCCCTTCCGGTCGGTAGCTCCTCGGATGGTCTAAAAGGGAACGAACATTCCAGGCTGCCAGAGTGAGCGGGCTCACCCTGTCAGTCTGGTGACAGCCGGTGGGGCGACGGGAAGGAGATGGAGAAGAATGTGACGAAGGAGAAGAATAGGCAGAGGAAGAGGAAAAAATGTAGGATGAGGAAAATGAGTATGGTTGTTGTTGTTGTTGTTTCGATTTTGATTGTTTCGACCGTGAGTTTTGCGTCTGCGTCCACGGTGCGTCTGCAGACGACGCGGTTCCCCAGCAATTTTAGGCCAGCTTTTCCAGGCCCCCTCCGAAGTGAAGCAGTGCCCGGTCCCTGAATAGGGCTGCTTGATATGTCGGCGCATCCGAACCCCACTGTGTGCCACGAGTTTGTTTGGCAGTGGAAGAACGACTCGAATTTGCCAATGGCTTACGGCATTGCCGCAAGCCTGCGGTCTCCTACGGTGCACCAGATGGGATCGAGTCTGTGATGTCGATTCGAAGATCCATCCCACCGACTGATCAACGGCGTATCAGGCGGAGCCTCGTCTTGACGATGCCGATGCGATGTTCCACCAAGCGGCTGACCGACAGCGTAGACGAAACCTCTTCACGACGGCGCCGACACGGTGTTCCATCCGACCAACCGTCCAGCGGAGTCCGCAGTACCCTGTACACGTGGCACAACGCGCACCGGGAGTAACCGCCCTCACCTGGTTTAGCCCGCCGGTCGAGGCGGTTGCCCGGGGTGTGGCCGTTGAGCAGAGCCCAACTACGTGGAGCCACAGGTGAAAGTTGGATGACAGCAAATGGACGCTAGGCGTAGTCTCACCTGCAAGCAGATGAGCGACCACTACGACCGTCGCGTGAACCCACCGCTGACACCCTTAGACCCCTCAGGATATCTTACAATAGTCGAGAAAACACCGCAGCTGTGTGCGAGGTTGGTTGCACGTCCCATTTTGGTGTTATATAAGACTTAATAAAAATACTACTAACAATTTATGGATAGCATATCTGTCATAGTCAATATGGGCACCCTACAGAGTAGCAGAAACCGGTTCATGGTCATGTCTGCGCGCAGCTGCCCATAGTTTTTCTGCCCTAAGCAAACCCTACAGTCTGTACACTGCAGTCCGCACCACGCATTTATTCTGATGCAACGAACATACTGGTGCACTCATCTTTCTGTACACAGTTCAAGGAATCTTTGCGCATTAACGAGAAAAACTTTGCCAAATGATGAGACTCAACGGTTGACTTGACTGACTGGGAGACATGAAGTGGCTATAACAGTTAATCTAATGAGAAAAGTAAGTAAAACAGATACGACAGTTAGACCGTCGTTGTCGACGTTGTCCACCGTGTGCTGCCCTGGAAGATGGAGCAGACACGGAGACTTGCGCGCGAGTTAGTTTATAGTGATAGTAGACTTGCGCAGCATCTATCGCACTCTCTCCTCACCACTCCCCACCTGGACCCGGTGCTAAGGCAAAGTCAAGAAGACCGGAGGCGCGGAGGGCGCGGTCGAGCCCGCGCCTTGGTGTTTCACTCCACACCCCCTGGTCCATACAGCAAATAACCGGTTTTTTGACGAGCAATAACAACAGCAACACCCCAACAGGGGTCCGAAGGAAGATGATGACTGGGCAGCCATGCCCCCCACCTATGTACCTAGCGGGAGCGCAAGCGCATCTAGCGGCAGGGAACCAGGTGTCAGGGAACTACCAGCGCATACCAGACCGCGATGGCCATGGTTTGCTGATACTGGCGTCGCACACGCTTACAGACCTTTTGACCAAAATATATGCTAACAACAAGACACAAGCATTACATCTGGATCAGTGAGTATGCACCTAAAAGATTGTTACCTAAACATGGTTACTGCCTACCAACCCCAAAATTTGCAGCCTTATAAACCCATGTGAATTTGTGAAACATGTTTACCCCGTATTTACAGTTTTTTAGATTTACAGACATCTGAATTCATATGCCTTTGAAAGCCTTGTTCTTTGCACACCAGTGAGCTATATATGGTGGTACACGCATTCTCAAAATAGCTACCACTACAATAGTATTCACAAAATTTAAGTATCATCGATTCGTGAAAACTATTCTCCGGAGTTGGGGTAATATTCGTATAAGGTTCAATGCCGAGGGGAAACAAGGGACACATATAATCATCTAAGCGTTTCTTGAAGGGCTATAGGAACGTCAGCTCCACAGCTGATTGAGGGAGATCATTCAACTGTTCTATTACTCGCTGCGTAAAGAATTCAAGGCGGCGATGCAGTCTAGACATTTTCCTGCGTGGCTTCGTTGAGTGTCCATGAATATAAGGCGAGAGGTGCTACTGAAACATGTCCTCAAATCGCAGTTTGTTAAGGCAGTCAGTAACACGAAACATGAAGAGCAAGGGTCCGACTTATCTTCTATGATACAGGCGCTTTGTTTTCAACCAATCAGACTTACCCTTATCCAGATCAGAAGCTGTCTCCTGTTGCTAAGGACGCTCAATCTATGCAAGAAGCGCTGATATGGGACACTTTCGGAGGGCTTTTTATGGATAAAAAGAAAGTTTGAGAGGTGAGACGGTTGGCCGTTTGTCCATTTGGTTCGCCTGGTGGCTGATTTGCTTACGGCGGATATAGTAAAGAAATGACATGCAGTAAGTGATGTAACTCGCGAAACGTGAGGATCAAAATTTAGATGGTCAACCCGGAGTGCCTCAAACGTCGAAAATTTTCCGCATTACCTGAACGGGTTCCGGAAAGATCTTTTTATAAATAAGAGTGTGTTTTTTACTTATTTTGTCGACAAAAAGCCAACCATTATGTGGGATATTTGGTCGGCACATGTGGGCGGACTTCCGATCGATAAGAGTCATGCCACCTACTAAGCCTATATATTCTTTCAGAAATGAACGGATATCGACCAATCGGTACCAATCTACTCCCAAATTTTCTGTTTTCCTCCTATTGCCGCAACGTCTCGTCTATGCATACACTTTAGTGTCTATTGTTACTTCTAATTATCATTTCCACGAGCCGAAACCGTTTGCTCGTCGTCAGAACATCCCTTCGGATTCGACGGACTAATCAGTGATGGGCGAACCTGCGGAGGTGGTGCTGGCTCCTAGTCCCTCGTGCAAACTCGTTCAGTCAGAAGCCCACGACCATCAGTCAGTTATCGGAAAATATAGCGTTTGTAAACTAAACACCCTGGACCCGGGATAAGATGTACGTAGTTATTTGTGCTGGCAGATATTTATAGATTGCTGACCAAAAAAGCTTGGTGAGCTAACAGGTCGTCAGAAGCTTACTAGTTAAAAGTGGCAAGTGAACTTGGTCAGCAGTGTGCTGCTAGCAAAACATTCGAACAACCGGTATAAATCCTTAATAGTCATTTCTACTTGTACACCATGATATCAACGGCAAACGTCGATTGTTGTAACTCCGGACTGCAAAAAGATGACCGCCAAAGGGTATTACCACATAGTGTAAGGGAAATGACGCTTTCTGAACTCAGGCGGATGAACATTGCCAACACACTGAGGCACACATCGTTGCTGACGTGATTCCTAGTTCCAACATAATTTCCGCTAAATGCTTGCATAGATAACCCCCGAATTTCATTTTATATATCCGTATATTATGCGAATTATATAAAATCCGAGTCATATAGGGCAATCCTTTCAAGTTTTGGAAAGAGAAAATGTCACCCGGTACCAGATCTGGTCACTCTTTCTTACGTTGGTAAAACGTAGGCAACAGACGACGTCTTTGAATGCAGCGATTTGGAGGCATACATACTCTGATTGAGTTGATCGTCATTCTGCCTTTGACACCTTTAATAAGCTTCCAACAACTTCTCATGACCGCAGATTTATCCAGTAGTGCAGCTGTAACTTTTATCCACAAATATGAGAAATTGCTCTCCTAAACGAAGAAACGTTTTGTATTGGAAGCGTTTGAATTAATATTTTGAAATATTTTCGAAACCTGCTCCGACTGTCCAGACCTGAACTCCAGGCTCCCAAAACTGCGGAAGCCCTGGTCAGTGACTCACGCGGATGATTTAGTCGTATAAACATGACTGTCGGGCTATTCTCCTTCGCGTGAAATGGATCAGCTGACAATCTCTCATCCGTGTACCCTGAGGTCATCAGGTGCTCCTATGAAAAAATAGCCACATATAAAACTAAAGTAATATATTTAATTACATACATATACAGCTGGTGCAATTGGACATTTTGGGGATGTGGTTATGATAGTTCAGTCTAAAAAGAAGCGACATTTGCAAAAATTTGTATTAAGGTTTCAGTGAAAATCGGTGTTATATTTCACTGAAAAGATCCGAGCCATTAAAGGGACCGAGTCCAAAAACGGCAAGTTGTTAGACGGGTGAAAAACGTGAGTTTTAAATAATAATTCGCTTGGGGGAGCAGAACTGCACCCAAAAGGTCAGGCGGGAATTTAGGTGCTTGGAAGGCATCTCTCCTTCCTGTTTAGGTGTGGTTGGTTTCATCTTCTTGAGGTTTTATGGTGTTAGTTTTTTTTTTTCAACTATTTCGGCGTTCTTTTTATCCCAAGAATGGGGAAAAACAACTTAAAGTGTGTCGATGGTCCAATTTTAAAAATGAGCAAAGCGATCGGTCATGGTAAAACTACAGTCATCAGGATTTTTGTGTTCAGCA